CTTCTAGGTGCAGACAGAGCTAGAAAAGTGCAACGGACACTTCCTGGAGGGGAAAAAAAAAACATGGCAATGTTCGACAAGTGAAAATGTCGAGTTCTGTATAATCAGACTAATTCGGGGGCTGAATAGGTCGCAGGCACACATTTTGGTGTATATGTCGACATTTTAAAGCAGTACGCAAGAAGCCTGGACTTCCTGTCACGAAATGAGATAAGGAAAACAAGACATGCTTGATGCAAGGAGCCTAATTGGCTTTTCAGGCGCAATGCACAGCTCTTTTCTCCAGCTCTGTACTGTTAAAGAATGATTCTATAATTCACTTCAAAGAACAAAACTCACATACTGGGAAAAACAGATCAGTCTGAGTATTTATCACATGCTTCTGTGCTTAATTATTCCTCCAGAACTCCGACGGGTAAGTCATCCTGACACATTTGCCATCCACATCTTTTGGGGACGTGGGTATCAGTACAGGCCAATGTACTACAAATGTTTCTCACCGAGAAGTGTGAAAGGGGGGGGCGGACTGTTAGATGTACTTTAACAATACAACATTGGGGGGGAAAAAAACCTTGGTATGTGTTATTATTCTAAATACCACAACTAAAAATGGACTCGAATCTGTTCGATTGACAGCGCGCTCATTCAAAGACTTCTTTTTCCCATTCATTGCTTTTAATTTATTTTCGGGTTTTCTAAGTCAGGATGCGTCTTCAATGACAAATATTTCATGAACACTGTTATCAATAGTGTTGCTGGATTGCGGCAGACAGAGATATAATATTCTGGATGTTTGGTCAATAACTTCAAAAAGATCTCAATAGAATTTCCTTTTATCAAATTACTCCGGTCTGGCAGATGAAATGAACATATGAGCATTGCCACAATCGCTGTGCCGTCCTGTCGATTCTACATTGGATTCCACCTTATCTCACTCCACATTGACAAGGAACGGATGACATGTTAAATTAAGTGTGGCTGATTCACAGATTCATTCATCAATAGACTTCCTGACAGTGATCTAAAGGTTGTGCTACGTTTTTCAGACACCTGCATGGTCACCCAAGAAGGGTACAGACTTAGACATAATTAGCTGAAGACCCAGGTGCAGTTAAAGAAGCAATTGAAATATTTTTCGACAGGTGAGAGTCTTCGACTTAAGTCTTCCAGGGTGTCACCCCCAACCACACTGTACCTGCAGGACGAGACACGAGTCAAAACGGACTCATCGTATTGTACTATTGGAAACTTATTCGATCAAATAGACTGAGTGCTGCTGGACGATACAGCAGTTAGCTGATCTCTCGTCCACGCAACATGCCCAAATGTTTCTCGTAAGACTAATTCATGTATTCTTTCAAAAAACTCTAGTAAAAAAAAAAAAGATCAAAAGTATGCATCTGGAATATGAAAAATTGCTTACGGGAGCAACCAGATATATTATTCATATTTATATCTTTAAACATACAGTCGAAATCAACACTTGCAGAACGCTTAAAAACGCCAAATGGGATGTACTTTCTGCCGACTGATGTATACTGAATTAAAAAAAGTAAATGCCATAAATGTGTAATTGAGCCGTAAAGCTTTGCAATATGTCGTAAAATACCCAACCTTTCATAATATTGCAGGCAAACATAAGAAGATGCAATAAGGCAAAGATCCACAAGATGGCGCCAGGATACAGGAAAACTTAGCTACACGTCGATAAACTCCATTTAAAATTCCGATTGCTGGGATTTTCACGATTACAAGCCTTTCAGATTAATAATTTATTAAATTAATTAATATGATCAGTGATCATTAGATAAGTCATGATCATCTTACCTCAAATGTACTAATCAGGTGTTTGTGGTTCATTGGGCTACGCCTGTGTACCTGTAAGGTCGCCGGTTCAAACTCTGCGCTGCTACGGGTGGCCGCCCTTCGCGGATAGCTTGCTTCTACGAAGAGCAAGTTGAAGGAGGCGTAAAAAGAATTTCCCCACGGGGATCAATAAAGGAAGGATGATTATTATTATTTAAAGGAAGTCTACATATAGCGCTGCAGCTAAAACGGCCCTACTGGTGCCGCTGAGGTATATATTACTTTCCTAAATAGACACGAGAGTCCTGGTAGTCGATACTGGATGAGTAAGCTCCAGTCAACAAATGTAGATTCATCATTGTTTACGTTATGTAATATTAATTTTGATGCAATGTACATGTTGCCATATCTATCCATTTTCCATACCCGCTTTTCCAGTCGAGCATGACAGTAAGCAAAGAGTCTATCTTAAGAAACAGAGAGTGAAAGATGGGGGGGGCGCAGCGGAGGGCAGGGATGATACTCGCAAACAGACACGCGCTCATGGCAGTTTAGTGACACTAATTCCTCTAACCACATGCGGAGAGAACATGTAAACCACTCGCCGCGCCGGACCTGCTGAGGACAGAGCGCTACGCACTGAGCACTCGCCCCGGCTTCACGTCCATGTAAATATTGTGCGTTGTGGTGCCAAATTAAGAAAAACAGAAATACATACATTTGTTCCAGTGGGTATGCATGGATAGGGGCAAGGGCAGCTCTGGAGTATTTATATAGGTGCATCTGAAGAGGAAAAAGTAAACTTCTTTCTAAGAAAACACCGTCTATTCTTAGCTTACACAGTAATCGTGACTGAGCAGTATATTGAGGACAGCAGTATACCTGCCTGTTCATGTAGTTATCTACTCTGCGAGTCGCGTGGCAGCAGCGCAGTGCATAAAGTCATGCAGATACCGGTCAGGAGGTTCAGTTAATGTTCACAACAGAGTGTGGGGAAAAAAATATGATCTCCGATTCGTTTATTGGTGCCAGACAGGCTGACTCGAGTATTTCTGTGACTGCTGATCTTCTGGGACGTTCGTGCGCAACAATGCACAATGCAAACAATTTACTCAGAATGTGCCAAAAGCAAACAAACAAAAACAAACATCCAGTGAGCAGCAGTTGCGCAGATGCAAATGTCACGTTGATGTTAGAGATCAGACGAAAATGGCCAGACTGGCCCCAGCCGACAGGCTATGGTAACTCAGATAGCCACTCTGTACAACTGTGGTGAGCAGAGATGCATCTCAGAATGCACAACATGTTGAACCTTGAGGCAGATGGACCACGACAGCAGAAGATCATGTCGGGTTCCACTCCTGTCGGTCAGAAACAGAAAGCTGAGTCTGTAGCCGGCAGAGGCTCACCAGAACCGGATAGCTGGAGACTGGAAAAGCACAGGCTGGTCTGCTGACGCACACAGATGGTGGGGTCAGAATTTGATGTCAACAGCTTGAATCCATGAACCCAGCCTGCCTCGTGTCAACAGTCCAGGCTGCTGTCGGTGCTGTAATTGCGTAGGGAATGATTTCATGACACAGTGTGGGCCTATTAATACCAATCAATCACCACATGAATGCCAGAGCCTATTTCGGTGATGTTGACCATACACATCCCCTAATGCACACAATTGACCCATCTTCCAATGGCTACTTCCAGCATAATACACTAAGTCACATGTTCTTCAGTGGCCGTCCCAATCAATGGATCTGAATTCAGTAGAATATCTTTGGGATGTGGTAGAATGAGAGATGTGCAGCATGGATGTGCAGCTGACGAATCTGCATGATGATGGATTAAAAATGAGAAAGTCCAGGCCAGGAGGAATTGTGGCTATTCTGAGAGCAAAGGGAGGCTCTATACCCGGTAACAGTGCAATGTTTCTAATAAAGCTCTCAGTGAGTGTTATTCAATTCTGAGAACAATTATAGTTCTGGGTATTTGGAAAAACCATTCCATGTTCTATGATTAACACCGGGGGGGGCATGGGGCTCCGCCTCTGGATATGGCCAGTAAAACACACGGATGACCTACTGCGCTCCCCTAGCAAGAAAACACCTGATCACTCGGGCGACTTTTTGCGGCAGTTTTTTCTTCTTTTAACTGATATCGATTTTCACATTAAGCTTTTCTACATTTATAAATTCTTTGTGATAGGCAGCCGGCAGAGGTGAGCTCGCGTTTCTCCATCTCCAGCACAGAGTAACTCAGGCATTAATGAACCTTTGCAAAGGGTGGCCTGTTTTTTTTTTTTTCTCCATCCTGACCTGCAGTTGCACTTTCTACGGGAGTTACACGCACCCACGCCGCAGCCCGGCTAGATCCTCACTGCAGGGCAGCTGTTAAAATGGGGCACGCTGTTGCGCTCTCAGGAAAAGCACTGACCCTGCACCGCTCAAGCAAAAGCGTAGATCCTTTCATTAAGAAGTGAACCAGAGGGGAAGAGTAGCGGTGTGTGGCTCAGCGGACCAAGACTCTGTGCCGGTGATCAGAAGGTCGTTGGTTCAAGCCCAGCCTCGGCACATCAGTGGCTCATTGAGCAAGACCCTTAACCCCCAGCTCCTGGGGTGCTGCTATGGGTGGCTGCCAGTTTGCTCGCACCTAAAGAGAGCAAGTTGGGGGAGGCGTAAAGAGAATTCACATATTTAGAATTATGTGTATAATCCCATAAGGGGTGCCATGAAGGGGGGGGGGGGGTAAATCATGACAATTCTAAGGGCTCCTCAGTGACAGAGGCCCATAAAAATCTGGAACAAAACTGGATTAGTTCAGATTATGGGCCCAATATGATGTGCTTTCATGGGGTCCAAAATCTGTCCCCTGCAACCAGTGACCCAGTAAAGGGACACAGTGACCCTGCAGTCCGTCCCTCTATGCAAAGGAGACACGGCTGCATGCCCCATTTGCAATTTAGAGCCAACAGCTCACATACCCACAAGGTTTTCAGCAGACATGCAAACTGCATGCGCAGACCCTGGGCTGATATTCCACACCAGGGCCCAGAAGCTTCCGGCTGCAGCACTGGCCACTGTCGTCTTCACTGCTGGTGCAGCGTACTTTTATGTTATGCAGTTAAAGCAGTTACGTTAAAGCACATGACACTTTTACAGGAATAACCTCAAAGAACAAAAACAGCATACAGGCCCAATGCCTTAAGTACAGTAATAGCTCATTTATTTATTTAAAAGCTTTTGAGGAGACAATCTCAAGTACAGAAACCTTAAAAGCGTCTTTACATATCTGAATAGTCTTTTTTAAGGCACCAGATAAATAAGTTACAGAGGCATATCAGCTTGCAGTGGAAGTAGGAAAATACCAAACAGACAACTTTCATTCTCATGAGTTCCCTTTTAGAGAAAGGAAAAAGGTGATAGAATATTTAAAGATCTGGTAACGACATCATAAAATGACGTGGTCCATTTAAAACATGAAACTGTCCGAAACCTTCTCTGTAGTCCCGACTGTCATTCTGATTATACATTACAGAGATACAGAACATCGATACCCAATATGCATTCAAAAACATTCACGTAATTAATGTGTTCTGTGACAATTACAGCAGTGAACCCCGTCGATACACGCAGATCAACGTAATACCTCACTCAGAAGGCATGTCACGTGCAGTGCGGCGAGGTCGTATTAAATATGAAGTGTGCGTAAAATACGTGCGCTTAACTAAATCTGCAGTGAGACTACAAAAGAACATCCATATTGGAATAAAAAGTTCCTGGCTGATTTCTGAGTTGGGCGGCAATGTGAAGAAATGGAAGCAGAATAATCTGATGTCCAATCGCAGAATTGCGCAAGGACTGTTATGCGTATAATACAAACAAAAAAATTAAGATAAAAACATACCATTACGAGAATGAAATTTTAATACACGAGAGGAATATAAAGCACGACGTACAGATGCATTTGGCTTCGAACCGCACCGGAAACACGATGAAAAACTTGCCTCTTTGGTTGTCTTTGACAGATCGTAAAACCGGCCGGCGCCAGCTGACTGGACTGGGTCCAAAGCTTTTACGTTTCATTTAGTTCATTCAAAAGCACAATGTACATTTTCCTTCTTAAAAAATACTTGATACAGCTCATCAGGTAACACTGAACACCCCCATCGCTGGCCCATCTGGACGATGCTAATTACACGCCGTACGCGGACCACAGGTAGCGCGACACTCTCCATCCATCCCGAACATCATTGCTTTGAAACGCTGACCCGTTCTTGGGTACCACGTACTTCCTTTTTTACCTATTGCACACAAAGCATTAGCAAAAAACGGGGGGAAACAGGGACATTTATAAAGGTATAATGATATAAAAGGAAAATTAGGTTTCGTGTGTTTTAAATAACAACGATCGTGATGGCTAAAATGTAACACTTTAGAATAGGTTGTTACATCAGTGATGCTTTTAAAAACGGAACAAAGTTATATGACGAGTGCCTCTCCCATCCCCGTATCACTCCTTTAAGTATCAAGAGTTCTTCTCGAGCCATCCTCCGTCAGCTCAAACCTGATGGGGGAGAAGAAATGGAAACAAACTATTAGTTGTAATTAACAGTGTATCGATTCACTTCGCTAGTTATGATCGTGGTTGATGCTAAAATTTTGCAGCATCCAGCAGGGGGCAACAAAACTTAACACCCAAAACCTGCAGATTAAGCGCCTTCATAAGATTCCGCCACCGTCGCTTCTGCACGGTCAGATATACGTCGTTTTGATATTGCGCAGTGTTTTTAATTCTAAGACTTTCGTGGTCTATGTGCGTAAATTAACATTCTTCATGGTTTTATCAGCGAAGACAAAATGACACCGAGGTTTGCAAAATATATGAAAAATACGGTAATGTAGCTGATTATTGTTGTTGTTACCACAGGCATAGAAAAAATACAAATGTCAGCCTACTATTTTTCATGCACTAAACTGGCATTAATCTCATCTTCCGGACCATTTAAGTAATTAAAATTCAGCTTATAGAGAAGAGCCGATCTCAGCCTGTGACCCTGTTCTATTCAGCAGCGCACAGCAGCTGACGGATGCCAGTGGGAGAGGCTGTTTACCACTGAGTCCAGCCTTTGGAGATGTCGTCACACATCAGATCGACCATCACCTGCAAACGGGGATATTTTCCATCGTTAAAAGTTGCCACATTACAGAAGGCCAGTTTGGGTTATTACCACTAGGGGGCACTCCGGTTGTCGGAGAACAAGCAGCGGCCGTACCTTTCCCAGAAGCCCCTTGTGTTTGGACAGCAGCCCGCCCCCATTTTTGACAGCCACGTCCAGGGGCCTCCTGTGGAGCTCCGCCAGAGAGACGCTAAACTCAAACCTGCCAACAAGCAAGGATACAACTGCTGTTCAGCCACTGTCCAGCAGGAGGCATCAGCGAGCCCGAACCAGGTGGGTAAAAACCGCGATCGCCCATGAAGGTGCGGAGGTGACCCTGTGAGGGCCGGCACTCACGTGTGGTCGTACACGGGGTTCAGCGTCTTTTTTATGGTGTGGGTTTTTCTCCTGCCGGAACGCCGCTTGTCGGGAAGCAGGTACAAACGCACGTAGGGGTCCGAGCCGCTCTCCGTGAAGGCGATGAGGTTCCTGCGTGAACCAGTACTACGCTTAGAGCCACGTCCAGGGCTTTGCTTTCGGGAGACTGGCGCCCCCTACAGGCAGACTCACCTACAAGCATGAACCACCACCATCAGCTTGTTTCTCTGGGAGCTGTGTCTCACTGTCAGCTGCACCTCGCCCAGGGGGACGTGGTTGGGGGCTGAACCACTGCGGGAGGAAAGGAGATGTTGATATCGCCATGCCCATCGCCCCACACAAAGCCAGCAGATACTGGCCGAAGACCAGCACGGCTCTGAGAAGTTGACGTCGATTTAGCGACCCTGCGTATTTTATAAATACATCCTGACGTAGCTGTGAGAGAGGGTCCTCTGTCTAAAGATACCCGGCCGCATGAATTTAAAGTGAGTCGACCCTTTAGACAGCTGCAGCCTGTTGGGGGTGGGTGGGGGGGGGGGGGGGGCGTACTTCTGCAGCTGCCGCAGCCTCTGCTGCAGCTCCTGGGTGGCGAAGGGGTTGGAGATGTCGGAGGCGATGCTGGGAGTGGGTTCCTTGGCGGCCAGCTGGGTCTGGGAGCCGGAGACGGCCAGACTGGAGGAGCTTAAGCCCGCCCTGGCCAGGTGGGCGGGGCTACTCGGGCACTCCGGCACCTGCCGCTCGTGGTCGCAGGTGGGAGGCGCCGTCGTGGGGGTCGGGGGGGCCGCCACGGAGTCCGGCGTCTTGCTCGCGGTCGACTTGGCCACAGGGGTGGGGGGCTGCTCCTTTCTGCCACTAATCCCCCCTGTCTTGTCACCGCCGTTGACACTGACGCTGGCCTTCCTCACCTGGACCGAGGACGGCTGGTGCGATGGGTGAAGTTTCTCCAAGCAGAGAACCTGGATGCGAACGAGGAGAACGCTTCACACACTATAATATACAAGTATGGATTCATCTGCTCATGTACGCAGAGACCTGTACACACACACACGTCACTCGTCTGTATTGTTTTATCAGCAACACTGGATGTTCTTCTACTTTTGCATTTGTCTTGTGAGTTTTGATTTGAACAGCTCTCCTGATGTCAGGTTCTTGCCATGTTCCTTAATGTACTGTATTTGGTTCTAGTCCCTCACTGGAAGTTTAACATGAAATGTTAAACT